AGGCAATTAAGCATCCGATTATATATTTTAAAGGATTCAGTTAGAAACATTCATTAGTATGTAACAGTAAAACAACAGCTGAATGACAGCTATTTCCCTTCCATAAAATACCAACATATCTACTCCAACTGCCCCCAAAAAGCTACATTTGAAAACTTTTAACAAGATACCGTGAAGCTGAAAAGTTAAATCTTTCAAATGTTGGAAATTTAACATCAGGGAGCTCTAATTCTGTTTGAATTTAATAATCTGCATGCACATATCATGGCACAAGGCCCTCTGCTTTGGGGATCACCAGGGCCACAAGAAGTACAAAGATCTCCATTAACCGTCCTATCCCACACTGCTCTGTGCAGAATAAAGTAGTTGTGGTGTGTGGCCCTACTCTTAGATGTACTGATTTTTTTGTATTGTGCAGTGGCTTGTAGAACAAACAAAAAAGGCAGGGGAAGATCAAGCCAACAATAGCAGCTCTCTTCACTTGGTTACTGAACACTTAATAGAAGGGCTGCCTCGAGTGCACCTCTTTCAAAACAGATGTTTTATGTGTTGAGATCACTTTACAAGCATTATCAATGATGACCCTCAGCATATTTGTATAGAGGAAGATGTTCAAACATTATTATAGTGCTGGCAGAGAAACAGTGTGAATCATCTTATTTGCCGGCTCATTCCACAGATCTGGCCCCAGTGTAACTAGCCCAAATCCACAAATGAGGTAAGTGGCTAACCCACTCCAACCTGAGACTGATATTTTGTCCTGAGGGGTTTCATTTCTGTGCCTTCTCCTCCAGCAAGTGCACTAGTTCCAAATGCATTAAGCAGTCTTTTATTTTGTCCATGTTCACAGTGCTAAAAACTCCCTTTCAAATGATTCTAGCTGGTTACATTCATTAATGTAAAAATGGTTTTACTGAAAGGAATGAACAAAGCAGGAGGGGAAAAAAAAACCCCACGCAATTAAAAACAAACAAAACAAAAAAGTCTCAAGTTGTTCTATTCTCTGTGTGTTTGCTTTTAGACAGCAAGAGCCAGGACAGTATCCTTGGGTGACTCCAGCTAAACAGAGTTCACGTGGACTGTCCTTCCAGAAGAAACTGCAACAGAAACCAGAAACTAAATCCTCACTTGCTACAAGCAAGCTCCCTCACACACACCCAACCCTCAGCTCAGGTTAGAAGGGGTCCCAAGTAACTGCCTCAGGGACTGGATGATGCCAGGAGCACAGTCCTTGCATCAGCACAGATCAGCTTACATGCTCTGTATGATCTGAGGATCCGTGTTCACCAAAGACACCTCCCCACCGCTAGAATGCACAAAAGTAAAAGATCAAAGTCCTCATGGAGGAGACAACCCCAGAACAATCAGCACTATATAATCAGTACTAATACAATACATTTGCCTTTTTGCTTGAGGTTCCTTCATGTGGAGATACACTGGTAGTGCTTAGCTTGGGATTTGCAGAACTGCCTTGTGTATCCATCACCTCCATCTTCATTGTTTTTCTGGGCACAAGCTCTGCATCATCATTCTCACAGGAGTCCTCGTGTGGCATCTTGTGGGTTTCTGTTTTCTCTTCCACTTCTGTAACAGTTTTCCCTGACTCTTCCACAAATTGCACCGTGTAGGGGTAAAGATTATTCACAATATGCAGAACTTGGCCTGGCTTCATTTTCACCACTTCATCCTTGCCAATATTCACAAGATCAACACTACTTGGGTTGACCCCTATCTTGGGTAGACAGAAAAAGGAAAAAACAGTAGCAAACGATGTTTTAAGTGGAATCGCCAACTTCCACCCCGTTCTTCTGGAATACCACTCACCATCCTGGACAGCAAATGCATTTCGTGTTCACTGCCCCCCTGCCCACATCAACCCGCTCTAGAGGACCAGGGAAGTCCAGCTGTCTATGGCCAGTCTTACACTCACAGCTGTCAGCACACAGCCTCAGGGATGTGGTGTCACAGGGAGCCTGCAGGTCTGCAAAGCTGACAACAGAGTTACAGCACGACTCGTGCCACACATCCCACAGCAGCAACTATTTCTGAGCAGTGACAGTGGTTTTAACAAATTATTTCAGTCCAATCACACATGGTGTGGGCAACCTACAGTGACTGCCTGATAGATGGATTTCACCCCATTGTGAGGGTGACCCTAGGAAAACTGGGACTCTTCAGAAAAATGCTTTTGGTTAATGTTTATGCCTGAAGCAGGCTTTGGGAAACCAGCTCCCTCCTGTGACTGTTAAATTCTGTCACAAAGAATTTCTATAGCTTCTTCACAGCAGTACCTGCTTGCTTCACAATACTGGTGCTGGGCCTCCTAAGTGTGAGGGAGTGGCCCTGCATCCATCCAGCTGGTAACATGAGAATGCCTTTAGTGCTGTCTCACATCCATCCTATCCCTTGTAACCATGTCTTTGGCTCTTATCAACCATCAAAACAAAAACCTTTCACAACTGTGTGGTTCCACCAACACATGAATTTCAACCTCAAATGAAGGGCTGCCTCAGCTTGAGAAGTTTAAGGCTCAGGAGGCAGATAAGCAAGTTTAGGGGAAGGACTCCAAAATCTCCTGAATGCAGCACCTGGAAGAACTGATGGAGGATTCACAGTAGCATTCCCTGATGCTGCAAGTCTGTCTGTCTTTAGACTGGCACATATCTGGAAGGAATAGTGCAGTCTGTCACTGAGGTGCACAAAGAAAAAGATCACTTATGAGGACCAATTGCTGCGCTCTCCTTTGGTGATAAAACAGCTCCAGGTCCTTCAGATCCAGCGATCAGTGATCAGAATCATCAGCTGGAGCATTTGTGGAGTTAAGTACAACAATCATCCCAGTAAGTACCATAAATATTGTATATCCACGCATAAAGACATACCTGCTTAACTGTGACATATCCCTTGTTACAATCTGCTTTTAACTGAACTGGCAAAAGAGAAAGAACAAAGTGTCACAAAACGGTGTAAATAAAAAAAACTCTGACGAACCCCCCAGTGCAGAAAGTACTCCTCTGTTTGAAGGCCTGCTTCCTTCTGAAGCTGACTGCTGTGAATGTATGCAAAGAGAACTTCTGCCTCATCTCCTCCCAGAACCACAGGTAAAACAGAACCAGCCCATACACAGAGCCACACCATGACCAGCAAAATTACTTCAGAAGAAAAGTGGAATGTTTGGAGGTCTTCTACATGTTCTTACCAGCTCTCTGTGACAATAAGGCATGCAGCAGGACTGTGTCCAGAGGGATGAAAAATAAGGCAGGGAAGATCTGCCGTATTTTACAGATGACAGGTACTTTCATATATTCTCCAAAAGCATGTTATTTTATGTATGGAATAACAAGTCATACCAAAAATCAGCTGGTGGAATACCAGGGAGAAGTGCTACCCACAAAGCAGGCAGTGGAACACAACTGTGGGCCTGGGAACTCACGCTGAGATTCAGTGCTTTAGTTTATGAAGGTGAACGTCCTGTCTTTGGGTGTCTCTGATTTTTCAGGACCCAGAGATCTCCCTAAGTGCTTACTGAAAAAGCTTGATGACTTCAAGAACCAGGCAACCCTACGGACCACACAGAGGAAGGAGGTAAGTTCAGTTGCTGCTGCATGTGGAAAGCAGGATTTGGGCTAAGCCACCTTACCTTGCTGCCGTGAACACTTCTTATCCGTTATCCCAGTCTCTGGGCCACGCCCAATTACCACTGCTTCCAAGTGTGGCAGTTTCACTCGCTGACTGCATTTCTCCTTCCCCACGAGCCAGCACACACGCATGGCTGTGCTACAGAGCAAAATAAACAGTGTGTTACCAACACACCACTTCCCTAGAGGCCACCTTCCCGTGGAGCAGAGTCCAGGAATTTTGCTGTCAGCCCATCCATTAGCTGAGCCAGTTCTGCTAAATGGGTTCATGTTTCTGAAATTCAAGGCAAAGCACGGCATTAACACTCACATAAGCTAAGAGCAAGTAGCTGTTGAAAGGACAATGCTGTTTTCCTTCCTACGTTACCATACGTTCTCAAAACCATGGATCATATACAGGAAAAATCAATTGGATTGACGGTTCCATCCGACAGAAAAGCCTACCTACAAAGAAAGTGATTTGTTTCCCACTGAATCAGAGTTGATTCAAGAGACTAACTTAACCGCTAAAACAAAGAGAGCAGCAGAGGGGACGAGAGAGGGGGGATAGCTTCATCCAGCAACAGTCAGCACATGGATCATGCTATGAAACCCTCAGGTTTACACTCATTTGACCCTGGAAAGCAAAGATCCCTCACCCTCCCCCTGCCCGGTGCTCGGCGCTGAGCGCTCCTCCTCCCAACTCTGTGGTGAGCCCACGCCGGCGGAAAGTAAGACTCGGTCCCCAGTGCAGCACCGGCACTGTCACCCCCCCACCCCATCCTCACGGTCCCCATCCCCTTGGCAACTACAGGCCCCGTTTCCATGGCAACTCCGGGTCGCACCCCCATCCCACCCCGCCCCCTTACCGCGCGTGCCTGCTGCCAATCGCCTGCTGCAGCGCAGCCCCCACGTGACCAGGCGGTGGCTGCCGCCACGGCCCGTGGCGCGGCGCAGGCGCACCGAGCCCGCGCGCTCAAGGGGTGGACGCCGGGGCCTGGCGCAGGCGCAGTGGCGCGGAGCGGCCCGGGCCGCCGACAGGCCTGTGCGGCGGCGAGGCCAGACCCGCGTAGGACGGGGGCAGGGAAAGGGCGCGGAGCGGTGCCGGGAGGGCGGAGGCAGGGCCGGCGCTGCTAGCCTGTGCCGCTCGGTGCCTTCGCTGAGGGGGGCGAGGCCCGACCGGCGCGCAGGCGCGACGCGATGCGCACGCGGGGCAGGGCGGGAGTCACCGCCCGCGCGCGCCGGGGGCGGCGAGAGCGGGCGCTGATTGGCCAGCCGCGCTCACCTCCTCAGCAGCCATTGGCGGGCCGCCCGCCCGGGCCCGGCGAGGGGCGGGGGCGGGACTTCCGGGGCGGGGCAGGGCGGGGCCGTGCGAAGAGCGGCGGGGCTGCGGGACCGGCCCGAACTTTCCAGAAGAGTCGGGAGCGGCGCCGCCAAGTGCGGGATCTCCGCCCGCAGCCCCGGCCGCCTCCCGCCGCCGCTGCCGCCGCCACCGCCGCCACCGCCATCATGGTGAAGGAGACCACCTACTACGACGTGCTGGGCGTGAAGCCCAACGCGTCCGCCGAGGAGCTGAAGAAGGCCTACCGCAAGCTCGCGCTCAAGTACCACCCGGACAAGAACCCCAATGAGGGCGAGAAGGTCGGGGCGGGGCGGGACAGGGCGGAGGGAGCGGGGCGGGAGTCCCGCCGGGGGAGCCCGCAGATGTCCGAGTGCCCGTGTCTCTCGCGCAGTTCAAGCAGATCTCCCAAGCCTACGAGGTGCTGTCAGACCCGAAGAAGAGGGAGCTGTATGACAAAGGAGGCGAGCAGGCCATCAAGGAGGGCGGCTCCGGGGGCGGCTTCGGGTCCCCCATGGACATATTCGATATGTTCTTCGGCGGCGGAGGGAGGATGCAGAGAGAGAGACGAGGTAAGGTGCCGGCTCTCCGACAGTTTCTCAGGGTGCGCGCGGTGGTAGACAGATCAGAGTCTGCCATGAGAGTGCCCTGGATGTAAGAATTGAAAGAGAGTTAAAGGGAAGTTACAGGCTTAATCTCAAAATCGAAGAAAACTGTTGTCCCTTAATGCCTGAGACTGCAGGGGAGAGAAGACATTTGTTTCCTACGGTGGTAGTTTGGTTTGCCGTTCATTGTCCCCTGTTAATCGCTAACCAGGCGTCATTGTGTTTGGGCAGCCTTTACCAGAGTGTAATCCTAGCTGTCAATAGGCCGAATAGGAAATATAAGGGTTAAGTAGCTTAATATGATTTGATAGCCCTGCTACTGTAAGCGTAGTGCCTAAATGTGCATTTCATGTTTAATTGCAAGCAACTGCATCTAAATAAGATATCAGAATCAAGTTCAGTCTGTGGAACCTTTTATCTTCCTGCGCTGTTCAGTGGAGTTAAGTTGAAGCTGCAGCAAAATGCTGTTCAGCAGTTAAGCTCCAGATTAATCACACTGGGAAAAATTCTAAACTGGTTAAGAGCAGTGCTGACCCCATCACGTCTTGGTGCAGATCTGGTGACAAAGGGAAGAAAGAAGAATTTGTATGAAAGTGTTATAGTGTTGTAGCAAAATACTCCTAGTAAGCCAGAGCTAAACTAAGCCTGCAGCACCTAAAGTTCTAAGGAATTCCTGAGTGCAAGAATGTAATTGCTTAATTCTGTTTCCAGAAAGTCCCCTGGTGAGAGGAAAAAGTGCTGGAGCACAGATTCCAGGCAGTGTCTCCCACTTCCTTATAGGACAGATGTTCAGTGACCTTGTTAAAACTGAGTCCTTCATTATATAAGTTAAATGGCTGAGGTTCTGTATATTTTGTTTCTGTTACTGTTTTTGCTTTCACAGAAAGTCTCTTCTAAGGGCAAAGCCATTAGAATTGTTACCTGACTTGAAATCAGATGGGAAGGGGCTATTGACTAATGCCAGCAAAACAAGACAAAGTTCTATTGAAACAAAATGTTAAAGCCCAAAGACTGTGTCGTGACTTGAGCATGGAGACGTGGGAAGCTGGAGACCAAGCTTACAGACTTAAATATCTGTTTTCTTTTGCAGGTAAAAACGTGGTCCACCAACTGTCAGTAAGTTTAGAAGATATGTACAATGGTGCGATGAGGAAACTTGCACTGCAGAAAAACGTTATCTGTGACAAATGTGAAGGTAACTGTGAAACTGAAACTAAACATAACTTGCTTTTAAAGTTGTCGGCGTGTTTTTTTTCTGGCAGCACATAACGGTCTGTCTTCAAATTTCATTGTCAGGTCGTGGTGGCAAGAAAGGGGCAGTAGAATGCTGCCCTAATTGCAGGGGATCAGGCATGCAGATCAGAATTCACCAGATCGGGCCAGGAATGGTGCAGCAAATCCAGTCTGTGTGCATGGAGTGTCAGGGGCACGGAGAGCGTATCAGCCCCAAGGACCGGTGTAAGAGCTGCAATGGCAGGAAAATTGTTAGAGAGAAGAAGATCCTAGAAGTGCACATTGACAAAGGTGAGGTGTCTTACTAAGGTGAAGTATTGAACTTGGATGTACTGACTGACTTTGCAGCTCTAAAACGGAAGCTTTAGAAAATACATGGTGTTTATTTGGTGAGTAACACTGATGAATACACATACAGTAAAGTTGCCTGTTGCTGCCTTTTTTGAAGTGGGAGACTGTTTTCTAGGGAAGGTCGACTACTTCTATGTTCCCTTCTAAAACCTGTGCACATAACTAAGAATGAATTTTAGAACTGTATTATTGTAAGAGATGAATTATTTTTGAGTTCACTGTAAGCACAGTTCATAGTCAGGAAGCCTAATCAGGTTTCAGTGCCCGTAGGGAAACCCCGCAGACTCCGATCACTTCTGCTGTGTTTCAGTGTGAAGGGGAACCAGGTCTGCTACAGTAACAGGGCGCTGAGACAGTGCTAAGCCTCTTGTGCTTAGAATTCTGGTGGCTGCACAACCCTGACAGTGCTGCTCAGTGTGGGTACTCCTTCCCTGCCTGGCAAAATGCAGCTCCACACACAAACCCTCACAGTGGTGGGTGAACGCGGCAGTATTGGATGGCAAATGCACCTCTGTTGAGGGGGCTGCTCAAAAGCTGGTGGGAGAAGTCTCTGGAGTAGTCCAGCTTCTAAGACAGAGCAAGCTTACTACACATGGCTTCTACAGGCTTGCTCCTGATTATCAGCTGCAACTGTTGTATGTGTAAGCGTAGCTTGTGCAATGCTGAATTTGTTTTTAACAAGGAAAATCCTACAATAATAGTAAATATGAGGACTAAGAGGGGTATAATACTGATGTTTCGAACAGGAAAATCTCTGAGAAGAGTGTCTTTTCCTTTCTAGAAATATAGGCTTATTTAGCATTAGGAAGCTAGAAGTTTTGGTAGACGCACTTTTTTGTGGGTGAAAGGAGTGTCTGACATGAGGGTTACAGTCCACTAGAAGTGCTTCTTCAACTTGGCAGGCACTGAGATGATGTTTCATAAGGAGATGTGCCACGTATTTCTAAAACTGAAGTAGCTTATTGGTCACTTGCTCTCAAAATGGAGTTTGTACACAGTGTTGCTGTTTTATTTTTAGTACTTGTGTGTATAATGAAAATTTTATGGTATTCCCCTTAAAGAGTTTTATCTTGGTGGCTGTTTTGACAGTACAATTAAGCTTAGTGACCTTCAGCCATAATATTGATTCAGATTAGCCAACACTAAGGTTGGACACGTGAGTGGATTAAAAACAAAAAGAATTCTTCAAGGGAAGATCCTGATGTTCTTGTTTAAAGATCCAGAGATTTCTTGATACCAGCTTGTGTCTATAAAAGTGTTTCTTGTTGGTGCTTTTCACTTAAAAATAAGGAAAATGTTTATTTGTTTTCTGCAATAGGAATGAAGGATGGTCAGAAAATAACATTCCATGGTGAAGGGGACCAAGAGCCAGGTCTGGAGCCAGGGGATATTATTATTGTATTGGATCAAAAAGACCATTCTGTATTTACAAGGTAAAAACTCTTGAATCCTCTTGTGTTAACTTCTGGTGCCTACTGGAGTTTCAGTGGATATGATCATGTGACTGGAACTCACTGAGTTTGTTTGGGTGGCCAGAGGAGCACCGAGGTGCAGGAATTCTGGTGCAAATAGTCTCAGCCACGTGTGTTCTAGTAGCATGAGAGAATTGTTTGTGAGCTTTGGCAGAGTAAGGGGATAGAAGACAAACAGAACCAGTTATAGTAATTAAGACTTTACAGGTCTTTAATTTTAAGAATTCTTAAAATACTGAGATTTTGTGTGGTAGATTTGAGTATTTGTGACTCTTTCCTTGGTCACTTTGGGATGGCATTCTATTACTTAGCTCAGAAAATTACCATTTCCTATAGGCAGCTGTTTATTGTCTGCTTGGCCTCAAGGCATGGAAAACTTGGAGTGTGTTCACATTTGTTTGGGGATCTTACTTATGACAAACTCACTCAGTATAGCCTGCACCCTTCTGATCAAAGGTGGTTTCCCTCAATTCATTTCCTGCCTGAGTGCTGTGGGCAGGGTAGTTGGTCCTGCCCGTTTTTTTATTGTGAATGCAGAAGTGACTCAAGCAGCGTTGACCACATGTCAGCTATTTCACGTTACCAGACAGTCCTGCTCAGTGTTGCACACCTTGCTCTTTCAAGTTGCTGTTTGTGGAAGGGGTCTGTGCAGTGCATTTTGGCCCAGTTAAAAGCACTGCTGTTCATCTTGCAGAAATGCGTTGTACTTGATGTCGTGCTGCTTCTGTTCAGAGCAGTTAAAAGGGAATCAGTCAGTTTAGACGAAGCATTTATTTGTTTCAGCACCTGCCACTGACCTTGTAAATAGGAACAGTGAGCCAAAGGTTCCTGGGAAACCTGTGGCTGGTCTGCCTGACTCTTTTGCATGGTGCTGAGCTCTTGAAGCTGGTGCCAGAATTCTATGCCAAAGAACACTGAGCTCACAGGTTAAGAATCAGTTCTGTTTGCTTTGGATAAGCTTACTCAGCTGATTTTTCTTAACTTCCAGTGAAACCAGACACTGAATCAGATGTGCCTAACTGTTCTCATGGTTTCCTGGGTCTTGAAGTCAGAATTCTGCTAGATTATTTTTGTCCATCTTTCTGCCCACTGCCTTCAGTTCTAGTGTCCTTAGATCACCCTTGATATTACTGGTTTTGTGGGGTTATGCTGAGGTCATGCTCTCGCGCAAGTGGGATGTTCCTCCTCTCCTGTCAAGAGTCTAAAATTAGCTTTTCGTGCAAGTCTCCTTCCAGAGACCTTTCAAATACAGGGTAAGTGCTACAAGTTCTTTCAATAGGCTGGACGATTTTGTAGCTTCTGAACATGTAAACATCACTAGCACTGCCATACTGAAGCCACAATAGGCAGTAGTTAAAGGAATTCACACGACCTATTCCAGGTACTTCTTGGTGCTTTCTAAAAGGTACTTGCATCATTACGCAGAGGCCATCACCGTTTCAGACTTCCCTAGTAACAGATCTTCAAGAGTGAGTGTAACATATTAACATAGAGTAAGGTGGTACACTTAAGAAAATGAAGGTAGGGATTAATTGTTGGAGGGTTTATGAGGCTGAGAGATCATTTTTTTCTTAGAATTGGAAAGGAACAGGGAAGTGAAACTGGATGCAAGTGAGCCTTGCTATATGTATTTATTTTCAGTAAACACTTCTACACTTTAGTTAGCTTGATGTGATCAGTAATGGCTCTCTGTGGGTATCATTCCAGTAATTACTGGCTTGAAATGCTACATCAGTATTTGGTATTCTTTATTTAAGTGCCTGAGCTTCTATTAACATTACAGCTTATTGTCATTTCCAAGTTAAATACTGAGATTGGGTATGATCCTTTTACTGTTTCTGCCTATCTGTGACTGTTGTTTGTTTGGTTCTGCCTTAGACGAGATGAAGATCTTCTTCTGGCTATGGATATTCAACTGGTGGAAGCACTCTGTGGCTTTCAAAAGCCTATCACAACGTTGGATAACAGAACTATCATCATTACCTCCCATCCTGGTAAGAGTTGCTTTACTTTCTGTTGGAAGTCCTAGCGCAAGGTGAATGTGAGCTGGAAACGAAAGGAACAGAAACATCCAGCTTTGATGTACAAGGGATGTATGCTGGTATCAAGCTCTTTTCCCTAGTCTTTACAGTACAAATCATGAAATAAAAAGGGAGTTTTGGAAAGCAGTCAGCAGTAACTTTTTCTTTGCATGACATAGTAACAGACCTTACCTCATGGACATACTTGTATCCTGAGGATACCTCATGAGAATTGAAGGGCGTGGGTCTCTGAAAACCACTTTTTCGGCCTTGGAAGTGATGGAACACTTAATAAATTTGTAAGTATGTTTCCTTTGGGAAGCATAACAAGGTTACAGATTTAATTTAGTATCAACCTCCTTTCCTACTCAGATATTACAGGCAGTAAGTCCCTGTTAGACTACTACATAGTGGTGTAGGTGCCTAACCACAGTATAGAAACCTATGTAAATATTAAAGGGACTTAAAACTAAAGCTGCTTCTGTTGCCTGCATATATCTCTTCCCTTTTTTTTTTTTTTTTTGTGTGATCTTTTTGTTTTGCTTTGTTTTTAGGCCAGGTAGTTGAGCATGGGGCTATTAAGTGTGTGTTGAATGAAGGTATGCCAATTTATCGCAGACCATATGAAAAAGGACGTCTGATCATAGAATTCAGGGTAAGTGGGTCAAATCACTTCCATGGCATAGTACAGGACTGAATATCTATCCAAAATTTAATCTCTAAGCATTACCTCAGTCAAGAAGAGATACCAGTAATCAGATGTTCTGGTTTGGTGTTTGTTTTTTACAATGAGTGAGAACACGTAATCCATCAAACAGAATTACAGTTCAGAACAAAGAGAGAACTTCCTACACACTCTATGCTGAAAGTACCAGAGGAATTTCTTCAGTGACCTTGTGAATTTCCTTTTGTTTCACATATTCTTTAGGAAGGATGGATGAGTAACTTCAACTTCTGTGCTGGAGCAGAAGAGTAGGCTGGAAAATGATGATTTCTTCGCTGGGGAGAAGCTAATGCTGAGAGCTGTAGCAGCAGGCTCTGTCTGCTATGGCTTAGAAGATATTTAACCATATCTGTAATGTTAACATTTTGTGTTTATATATACAAATATATAGTTTTATATGTTATTATATGTATCTTATATATAGTTTGGTTCTAGGCTGATTCCAGAGGGCAGCCTGAGGCAGAAGAAATGTATTGGTTGAGTTGCCAGAGTTAGAAACTAACTTCATACAGGCATTAAAAAATAGCTTAGTGATGTTGATAATTTCTTTAAGCTCTGGATTTAAGTGATCTGTGATGATAAAGCTGATTTTGGCAGATGTTTGACCTGTATGTAGGAGCGATGGTAAAAGACCAGTTCAGACAGACTTGAGTAACCCCAGTTCTTGATGATTTCAGGTCAACTTCCCAGAGAGTGGCTTCCTCTCCTCAGACAAGCTGTCTTTACTCGAAAAACTGCTACCTACAAGGCAGGAAATAGAAGAAACCGAGGAAATGGAACAGGTGGATTTAGTGGACTTTGATCCATCTCAAAAGAGAAAACACCACTATAATGGAGAAGTGTATGAAGATGATGAGCATCAGCCTAAAGGTGGTGTTCAATGCCAGACATCGTAAATGGGCCAGTGAATAACTTGTGATGCTTGTTTTGTATGCAGTAGTGGATGAGTGAAGGACTACAGACAGTTCGCCCTCACCTCCTGCTATATGTTGTTCTATCCAGCCATAGTTATTTCTAAAAGCATAAAGGAATAAACTAAATAATTAAACTGACTTTGCAATTTGTATAAAGCTCCAGGATGCAAGCTCCAATGAAGTTGATTGCACTTCACCCCTGACTCTTGGTCCAGAAAACTCCCTTACCTGCTTGTCTTTTCTTCCAAACCTTGTAATTCCTGTATGTGTGCAATTGCCCAAGCTTAAACTTTTAAGATTCTGTGGTGTGCTTTTTAGGAATTTTAGATCTTATACTCTGTGAATAAAGTATGCACAAGTACTTACAATCCATGGTAAGACGTAGTTAAGTTTTGTACCAATTAGGATAACAATGTTTTGGGCTTATACTGTTGTTTGTTAAAGGGGCACTCGCTCTAATGCAGCCATGTGATACATGAAGCTGACGTGGATGTGGTCAGTCTCCACAGGCCCATTGAAGCCATGTGATCCACTAGCTTTGCTTAAGGTCAGATAGTCCCTTCCTGTGCCAGCACTAGTCCTGACCCCAGAGCTCGATGTGGAGCTTGCTTTGCTTCACCAGTGACTCCTGTTTGGCTGCTGTCCTGCACCACACTGCCTCTGGAGCCAGCGCTTGCTTGGAGCTTCCTTCGCTACTGCGAATTAGTGAACATCTCTAGGCTTTATCAGCACACATGTGGCTTGGGATCTGTCACACTGCTGCTTGATTTCCACCTTGGTTACTGAAATCAGATATCCCTCAGTGGTGTGTCATGGAAAGCAGTGATGGCCCTTTTGGTGGGTATATGTGATCCTGCAGAGGAGAGAAGCTTAGTGAATACAACCAACCGATGCATATGGGATGTTCTGAAATTAATGTATTGTGTGCATTATTTTAAACTGAATCTTGGAAATTCTGTATGAATGTTCTAATTATTGTAGATGAAGCGTTTCCGATATAATTACAAAATGGCTCATTGCCTCCTTTCTTAGACCAGATGTTGGTTTAAAGACACCACCCCCTTCTTTTTAGACAGCTATTCACAGAAAAAATCTTAGCAAAAACCTTTCAGAAAATATGCTGAGAAGACAGGCCCAGATTTAACCTCTAGTGTGGTGCTTTAGTCTTGTGCAGCCATCTGGCTTGGGACAGAGCTTATGCTTTTCATACTGCTTTGAAGCAAAAGTGTCACAAAGAGAACTCTTGTAAATAGCTGCTACGTGACAGTACATGTGTTGTAACTTGAATATCTGGAAACTCTTAGAAGACAGCTCTAGCTCTTCTAAGTGTTACAGGTGTCATTTTATAAAGACAGCTGTCACCATGGGTTTTGTACCTGAAATGTAGTTCCCTTTCAGGTATCCACAGAGCAGCAATCATCTGCATGTTTCCCCTGCTTTTTTGTTTTCTTTATTCTACTCAGCAGAAATAAAATCCTGTAGGCAAAATGTTTTTCCAAATTCTGCTTTGAATGAGCTCATCAGTGAGCTGTACAAATGTGACGAGAGCCTGTGCTCTATTTGAGGGATGGTTTGTTTGAGTGAAGGGCAGAAACAAAGTAATCCTAGCTCTGTCTAGAGAGCTCAGCTCTCTTGAGACTGCACAGCTGTCTTGAGACTTAAACAGCAGTAAAATATGCTACTTTTTTTTACATGTTTATTTTTTTCCCTTAAGCACGGGATCAAAACAGCAAGGGCAAACAACACCTATTTTGCTTTGAGGATGAGAAGGGAACATTATTTTGCTTCAGATGACTGTGTATTATTTAAAAAAAAATCACAAAAACGCAGGGGAAAAAAAAAAAAAGCCAGCATTCCATAGCCTTATTTTCCCAACACCACTTCCATTTTGCTTTCACCACACCCACAGCCACACAGTTGAGGTAATGGTCTTGACTTACTTTTCAGACCACGGATGATTCTGTTTCATGCTTGGTAACACCAGAGGGGATGGGCCAGGTCTAGATTCCACGAGAAGCTGCCTCTGGAAGCCTTAGCAGAGCAGTCCAGGGAAAGATCATACTACTAATGCAGGAAGGGCAGCAGAAACACCACCAGTTTAGGATTCTGCTTTGAAATGAGCTGGTGACTGACGTAAAATCTGTGTCCCAAAGAAATACTGGCAGCATTAGAGGGAGTTTTTGGCAAAAAGCACTAGTCAATGATGGCAAGAGCTAGCGAGAAGGACCCAGCCCTTAGACCTTCAGGTACAAGGTGTGGCCTCTTCCAAGCTTCTTTCTTGTCCCGTGATATTCTAGGTATTATACAGTTGCAGCAAGCAGCAAAACATGTTCTTTGCCACTGAAAAATAAGACATTTTTTCTGACTTCTTGTTGCTTTATGTGGAATACAGTTTCCCATTTTGGGAAATGAAAGGACAGCTGTAGAAATTGAGGCCACAGTAGCACAAAATAGCTGTTTCCATGACTACCAGTGTAGTAATCTGACGTGTTGTTACCTGAGTTGATGCTTGCAGTCACTTCCAGTGTTTTAACACCACCAAATTCATACATTCAACTCGATAGTCTAGTCTATTATTATTCTTTCCACTCTGCACCAGGCATCTGAGACTTTTTTTTCCCCCAGAAATCTTGCAGCTCCACTATTGCACAAGTTTGCTGTGAAACAGAACACCCACTGCAGACTCATTTAAGAGCCTGCTCTCATTTTTGCTTCTGCTTTCAGAGCCCTTAAAAAAACAGGTCCTTTCCTCCCCATAGCTTTGAATACCTGCTACCCAGCAGCAGCGCAAGAAGTTTGCTCAGCCTAGGGGAGTAAACTGAATTATCCCAAATCTGCTCTGAACTTGCAGTGTGATGCAAGGTCAAGCAAGCAAGCAACTCGCCCCTGTGACTTCTTCATTGGCGACTTCATCTGCGAAGACATGTTTATGGTTGATTACTGCTTAGAGCATTGGCAAGGCACACTGAGAAGGGAGGTTTGATTTAAACCATTTTTTCCAAAAACACACGAAAACAAAAGAAACAAAACCAAAGAAATGCCAGACCGAATGTTGTCTTAGGAGGTAAGATGAGTGCTATTACAGTGCTCAAAGAATGGGGGACTTCAACTACCCTGAAAACTGCTGTCAGGAAAACACAGCGGGACATAATAACAGTAACACAGGTAGATCCACGCCTCAGGTAAGTGCTAAGTGCTCTCTGCCATAATGATGGGCACTCAGCTCAGAGGCTGATGAAGTGTTGTGGCAGGTGGCTAAATTACAAGAGACAGTTAATATACTCTGCAGTATTAGAGGGACAAAGCAGAGGTAGGTAAGTAGGTTCAGAACCATCCACTCGCAGTGGACACCACCAAGCATGAGGCACCTTGGACATGGTGACGCACAAAAGCAGGGCTCCAATTCAACCTCCACCATCCAGACCAAAGCCAGATACGATATACCTATTAAAGGCTCTAGATGTCCATGAGCAAGGCCAACAAGGAGAACCTGCACTAGCAGTGCACGGTGGTTACTGTAAAAGGAAATGTTGAGTGAGCGTGGTGGGTGACTCTCTGTTAAGGGGCACTGGGGCACCCACCTACTAGCCTGATAAAGAGTCGTGGGGAGTTTGCTGCCTCTTGGGAGCTGAGATCCGTGACGTTGTCAGGAGGGAACACCAAACTGTCAAAAGCACAGACTACTACCCACTATTACTTTTTCATGTGGGTGCAAATGACACCACAAGCCAAAAAATAGGTAGGATCAAGGAAAACCATAAAGGCCTGGTGAGGCAGATGAGAAACATTGGTGCTCAAGTCATCTTCTCATTTTTCTTCCTGGTTAGAGGAATTGGGACAGCCAGAAGCAGATGCACAGTGCAGATCAATGTTCTTGTGTCTGGTGCTATTGAGAAGGTTTGGGCTTTTGTAACAATGGGTTGTGCTTTAATGATTGTAGCCTGCTAGTGAGAAATGGGATCTTTGGCAGCAGGCCGGCCAGTTTGGTGAGATAGGCTTTAAACTGAAGGACTCAGGCTTGGAGTCCAAAGTGGCAATGCTTTTGCCATTGCTTCCCCCTGGGGAGTAGGTCATACCAACCAGTGCAGTGACAGATGTTCCTTGGCTGCCTCTCAAGTTGAGGACCAAAGAGCTAACCACAACAAGGATGTTTTTGGTTATGGTGAATCCTCTTACTCCCCCTTCTAGGGAACCTCATTGCTTGATCCTCTCTGAAATGCCTGTACACAAACATATGCAGCATGGGGAATAAACAAGAACTGGAAATCTATGTGCAGTCATAGGCCATGATCTCATTGCAGCTATTGAGACGTGGTGGGATAGCTCATGACTGGAATGTTGTCATGGTTGAGTATGTACTTTTTAGAAATTATAAGTCAGAGAGGTGAGATGATAAACTTACTCTACCCAGGGACAGATAAACCAGTTGAGAGTTTATGGGTGAGAATTGCCCAGTGTGCCCTGGCAGCCAGGAGGGCCAAACATGTCCTGGGGGGGCATCAAACAAAACATCACCAACCGGTCGAGGGAGGGGATTGTCTCGCTGTGCTCTGACCTGGGGCAGCCTCACCTTGAATATTGTGTGCAGTTTTGGGTGCAAAATATAAGAAAGATATTAAGCTACTAGAGAATGTCCAAAGAAGGGCGATGAAGATGGTGAAGGGCCTTGAAAGGAAGCCATGTGAGGATGGGCTGAGGTCACCTCACCATGAGGAAGAACTTCTTTACATCGAGGGTGCAGAGCACTGGAACAGGCTGCCCAGGGAGATCATGGAGTCTCCCTCTCTGAAGACATTCAAAACCCACCTGCTCTAGGTGACCCTGCCTTGGTGGAGGGGGGGAAGACTAGATAATCTCCAGAGGTTCATTCCAACCCTAAAAATTCTGTGATAATCAGTTCAGGAGTGCATCAATGAGAACTTCCTGACCCAAGTGATAGAGGAACCAACGAGGAGTGGTGCTCTGTTGGACCTCATACTCAAAAACAAAGGGCTTGTTGGGATTGTCAAGATCAAAGGCAGCCTTGGCTGCAATGACCATGAGATGGTGGGGTTCAGGATCCTGAGATGAAGGAAGAGGATAAAATGCAAGTTCTCAGCTCTGGACCAGGAGAGCAGACTTTGGTCTCTCTGAAGATCTGCTTTGGAAGTACCCCGAGGGATAAGGCTCTGGAGTGAAGAAGGGCCCAAGAAAGCTGGTTAATATTCAAGGTTCACCTCTCATAGGCTCAAGAGCAGTCCCTTCCAGTGAACAGGAAGTGAGGCAAAAATGGCAGGAGGTCTGTGTAGATCCACAAGGAACTCCTGGCTACACAAAAAGGAATCATCTGGAGGATGAGTAACCAGGGTTGAGTTGAGTGGGGAGGAGCACCA